CTTTCCAGGGTGCAGATTGAGAACCACTTATTGTGTGTGTTTTGTAGTCATGTGTTGGTCATTTTCGGTCAGTTAACTCAATTTAAACATCTGTGTGAAAGCATTCAGTTAAGCACCCATATTTCCAGTGACAACAGAAGAACTGACTTTCAGCTGTTTTCCACGTCATTCTTAGATTCCTCTGCTGTGGCGTGATGCCTGACACAAATATCGCTGTGATTTTTCTTGCACACAGTCAAATGGCCTATGGCCTGAGGATAGCTTAGATGTATAATCATTGTTTATATTCATGTCTAGACTGCAGACAAACATGTACAGTATAACAGAATTTAATTTTAAATGCATGTTTAAGTGATGATACACACATTCTTTTAGGCATCGTAATGGCAGTTTACAAACTGGTGTTGTCCTACAAAATACATCACTCACATTTTAAGACAAATCATTTGTTAGAATTTTATTAGAAGCATAACTTTTGTTGTTTTCTTTTCTAAAGAGACACAAGCACATAAGGGACTCATCCGGCTGTTTCTTGAAAGGTAGCCGATACCCTTACTTAACATGGTTGGGTAGTTGGTTTCAAACCCCCACCACCTTTTGTGTAGAGAAGTACCTCCTTTCCTACTGCATAAATGCCCTTCCCCATGTTTTCCTCTGGTTGTTCTTTTACCATTTATGTACTGACAAAACAAGAATCACGTCTTCTCCTTTCAAGACAATAAAGATTAGTAGCAGCCCATCAGTGTAGGATTAATAATAATGTGAAGGGAAAGCTGTGGTTCATGGTGTGGAAAATTCAGGAGTGACGTACCCATAGACATCAGAGCTGCACAGCTTTTTTCAGCCTTTTTACTCTGTGAGCTGTTGAAATGCCACTTCATTTTAAGTCTTGTAAGTAACATCACAAGTCGTTTTCACCTTCGTTTTTAAGAGAATTATTAATTGCTGACTGTTTTGTGATATTGAATGTTAAGGTTGATGATTTTGTTTTAAATGTTTAATTTATTTTTAAGTCTTTTTTGTTTCACACAGTAGCCTACTTTTAATGGTTATATTGATCTGACTTTAGGTTTTATATGATGTAAGTATAAGGCACAGGCTAAGACAGACTGATCTACTGGGAGGCGGTCGGTGGCTGGGAGATCACTGAGACATTCTGCCCAGCTGTCACTCCAGCGTCACCCAGCGATTCTGCTCCTATTGATGCAACTGTGATGAGCGGAGAGCATATTCCCTCAAGTGGTCTGTTCCTGGCCGTGTCGAAGCACATTCAAGTGAGAACTAATTTGCCCCAAGAGGTAGAAGATTTAGTACTTATACTTGAGACACTTTAAGAACGTGCAAATCGAGAACCACTGGTACTTCCTGAAGTACGCATTCCTCAACTTGTTTTCTTCCAAACATAATCAGCAGGCTGACTTCCCCCTCCTCTTCGTTTTTCCATGTGAAGAGACCGGCTCTCAGTCTTTGGTCAGTGGTAGGGGAGAGAAAGGAGTGAGCGTGTCAAACAGGCTGCGGTCACCTGGGATTTGTTTTAGTTAATCATCTGCCTTTTTGCTTATGAATGACTTCAGTCACCTTGTCAGAGTCCAAGATCAAGGCGCTTAACATGAGCGTATGGCAATGTTCAGCTGCCTTATATGTGGATGTGGGGGTGGGTTTGTACTGCCCCAAAAAGGACGTAAATCTGCCATGTGATTACTAATTGCTGGCCATGAGACACATTAGAGAGTTTAATGGGCTAGGTCTAATCCATAAACCCCATCAATGGCACCTGTAGCTTGACGGAGCTATTAGCGCTTATACTTCTAGAGAATGTCATTAAGTTCTTTGCAGTAACAAGGGCAGGGATTTGTTGAACTTTATAACAAGTCTGTAGATTTATAAGTCAATAACAGCTATCACACTGAGTACTTTGTTTAGTTAAATCGGTGTACTGCAGCGTGTGAAATGCAGCAAAGTGCTTTTTGGGCTACTTGTCTTTTAACCTTCTGATGATATGTTACAACAATAAATAACCCAGAGTTATTTTAAAGCAGAAATGGAGTTCAGTTCCTTCTGTTTGTACTTGGATTGCATTGTACAAGTTATTTGATGCAGCAGAAGTTGCAACATTTTGCAGTTGCTTTTTTATGTGGACAGTCAGCAGAGGTGTGGTGATGTTAGAAGGCTTCACTTGTCCTGACGCAAGGACTCGCAGGCTAGCGAGGAAGAGAAGGAATCTGAGGCGAGGCTGTGTCTTGGGAGGTAGGCCGAGGAGCTGGTCAGCAGTGTGAGTCCGTTAGGGAGTGATTTTTTTTTTTTCCTCCAGGCTGGAGAAGCTGATGGAGGAAGCAGCTCATTCATAAAACTCCCACAGCCCCCCTCCTTTTTCCCCCCAGTTCCTTGGCAAAAGTGACCAAGGAGACCAGAGTCCTTTGCTAATTAGTAAATCTTGTCATGTTTAGTGAGAAACGCTCAATGAGGGAGAAAATAAGGCTTAAACTGAACTGAAAAAATGTGGCAGGTCAGAGCTGCTGACAGGTATTACATTGCCATTCTCAGTGGTTTGGCACTGCTTAAGAAGATTTATTGGACGGGTCTTCATTTAAGTCTTAAGGCTTTATACAATCTCCACTGTTATGTGTGAAGCAGTTTGCATTGACAGCATTTGAAAGTTGTAGCGCTGCTGAAGAACTCGGCAGGTTATCAAGGTTTGGTAACGAGGTTTTCTTGAGTTCTTGAATAAAAAATGTTCTACTGCAACAGGATGGAAGGATATCGGACTGTAATTGAAGCTCAGTTTTACAATATGGTCAAAGTGGACGGGGGTAAAACTTGGGGCAACAGCAGCTGCTCACGCCAGAGCTCATCCAGGTTTCTGTTGCGTAAAGAGGACTAGAGAAACCCCATCTGCCCCTCTGCTTCTACAGCTGTGTGGAGCCCCTGGGGTAAAGTCAGGCGTCTAAAGGCTTACCCACAGCTCCCTGTGTATAATTTGGACTTGCTCTAAAATCAAGTGAACATTTAGTGCAACTGCTAAGTGAGCAGCATTTGCAAAAGATGACTCCCCCCTACACCCCCCCTGTCCTGTTAAGCCTGCGCCAGGGTTTTGATCTGTGTACTGGAGCTTGTCTGAGCACATGTGGTACTGCAGCACGTCTGGCTAACGCCAGGCCAGGGATCACAAGATGAGAAGAGCCGACTGGACTGCACCTGAGGCCACTTGTGTATTTAGTTTTGCCTCTCTAGTGTGTGTGTGTGTCTGTTAAGGGTAGAATTATTAATAATGCAAGGTGGCCATGATCCGCAGCTGGGGCCAGACTGGGCAGCACTTATCGCTGTTCTAGTTTTCGTGTGGCTGGCTGAGCACTGCGGTTCCTCCACCTGCCAGCTCCCCAGGGGTTAGAATGACTACAGGGAGACCATGACATCCTTCCAGGAAGGACTGGTGGGTATTTGGCCTGCAGCAGTATTACAAGCTGATTCTCTAGTTGAGCTACAGGAGTTGCAGTTCTGCTGCAGCAACTACCCCGACCCTAAAAAGAGCTCATTTTGTCCTAATGAGGAACGGGTGGATCTGTAATTGTAAATCTTGTTTCGGTGTTGTATTCCCCCTGATATGCAATCAACTGCATGTATTTTTCAAATGGCAAAATGGCAAGTGTTGTTACTGGACTAAATCTGTTTTTGACTGGAATCAACTGAAATTGGTTTCTAACGCATGTTCTTGGTTCCGCAGGAGTAAATTTCATGCCATGTGCAGTTTGAAGTGACTGTTAATTAGGTGCCCTTTCCCTGAGCCCTGCTCTACCTTCCCACAGAGCCGTGCTTCGGTGTCGAAGGAGAAGAGTGAAGTTGAGGCGGGAAAGAGAGCGGCCGAGGACAAGGCCGCCCGGCTCGGCCAGGAGCTGGAGAAGCTGCGGAGGAGAGTCCAGGAGCTGGAGAACGAGGTGGCCAAGCTCAACCGCATCATCGACCAGGCCAAGCTGGAGGAGAGCCGCAGGGCGGACAGGATGGGCCGACTGGAGGTACCGGATAAAAACGACCAGCCGTGTGCCAGCCAGAGGATGAGTTTGTTCAGGATCAATTAAGGGGAGGAATCTCATGGCTCATGTCTCATGGCTGGTTTGCATGGTATCTGCTTGTATTTTCAGAACGTCGGGAGGGAGAAACTGAGTTTGGGAAAATCCCCTCTCTGGAATAAGGAAAAGTGTTGGACCTGTCTTACTGTTCATTATGAAGCAAGATTCAGAAGCTAGATGATATCAGAAAGCCATGATACTGTCCTGAGAGAACATGCACATTTGTTCTGCAGCATGGAAGGGCTTTTGAATTCTGTTGAATAAAAATGTATGTTTCTCAACAGAAGGAGAAACGACAGCTGGAAGAGAGTCTGGTGGAAGTGAGGGAACAGGAGGAGGCGATGACCAGCGCCAACAGAGCCTTAACGAATCGCTTGGAGGAAGTTCAGGTAGAACCCTGTCCAGCTCCTTTTTATTTATGCAGCCTACCCACTAGTTCAGAATTAACAACTGCTAAAGCTCATGGTTTAGGCTTCGGTTCAGCACAGCGAGGATGAGGAGCTGCAGACATGAGCCCATGAGACGAGACGATCACCTACCATTCCCACTCTTTGACGTGCTGCAAGCTCCCATGGTGCCTTGCAGGAAGTTAGCTCTGACTGAAGGAGCGCCACCTGTCCGCAGGCACTCATCGAGGTCTATAAGTCTCAACCAGTGTAAACCACCACATCTTCAATGTAAAAGCTTCAGGTGTCTGAATCTGCTTTTTTAGAGATGCATTAAAACCAACATACAAATTTCTTGCATTTCTTAGAAATACCTTCTGCAGTTGATTCCTTGAGTTTTTATTATCTGTAGAGTTTCCTTAATCCATGAATGATTTGTTTTTGTATTTTTGTTGTTGAACACATTGTGTTCTTTGTTACAAAAAAAGCTAAGCAGTGCATAGGAAAGGCTGGGCTCCGACAATCTTCCAAGTTTGACATTGGAAATGTGCACAAGGATCACAAGTAAAATCCAACTTGCTAAGCGGTTTGTAGAACCAAACTCATGCGCAAGTTGGGGACTGTCTGTGCAAGATCTGCAGGCACCTTGCAAGTCACAGGACTTGCTTTTTCGCAGACTTCTGTGAGGAAGCCTGTCTTATGAATTGAGCCTGGTCGCATGCAAGATGAATGTGACCCTGGCTGATTACTGCTCGCCCTACCATAGTGACACTCCTGCTGCCTGGGGAGTTCCCGTCACGGTTTTCTAGTTACGCATTTTACGCTTTAATTAAAAATGGGCTTTCTGACGGCTTTTTTTTTCCCCCTGTTGCAGCGAAACTTAACCAAATTAACCCACGAGCACAAAGAGCTAAATGAGAGACTGAAGGATGAGAAAAGCCAGAAGGAGCAGTTTAAGAAAACGAAGAATGAAATCGAGGATGAAAGGAGGCTGCTGGACAGAACGGTGGAGAAGCTACAGAAGGAGGTGAGGCTGCACGTTAACAGGATCAGTCAAGCCTTCGTTTACGGAGACAAAAGAAAACTTGTCCTCCTTTGCGATAAACTGCGGCGGTACACCTAACTCTGACCGTGAAAATACAACAAAAAAAAATTGTTGGAAAAACTACTTATCGGGTATGGATAATGAGCTAACTCTAGTTTTTTGGCTGTTAGTTGTAACGTCATCCACTTGAGTGCTGCAAGCAGAAATTATTGGCGATTCCCACCTGGTGAATCGCTGCCAGTAACATTCATGGATTTAAGCTTTGTAATGACAGATTTAGTAAATGGGAGTAAATTAAATGGCCGAGTTTGATTGTGTGTGCAATAGTATTGATGGTGAAGAGAGGTTTAGTTACGTATGATTTATCTTCAACAATTTCTCTTCAGACCTTGCATGATTGCATGCAGGAGAAAAAAAACACATCTCTAAAGCATCTAACAAACTTGTAGAAACCACCCTAGCCAATTAGAAAGATTTACGCCTTTGAACAAACAAGGCGGACGTCCCATAATTTCTTAGTTCAAGCTCCGTTCAGGCTTTCCCCTCACAATGCAGAGATCTAACTTTGCATTTTGAAACCAAAAACTGTCTTCAACAGTGCAGGTGTCTGCGTTTTAGATCATTATCTTTCCGATTTCTTCAGATGTGCGAGATAGTGGAGGCATCACAGTCGTCCACCCAGGAGCTGCAGGTGCAGATCGACGAGTACAAGGAGAAGAATCGTAAAGAGCTGACGGACCTGCAGAGACAACTGAGGGACAGGTCCACGGAGCTGGAAAAATCCCGGCTGGCATCCAAGAAGCTTCAGGACGAGGTATGCTTTTGAGACGCAGCTTGGCAGTCCCGCCTGTGTCCTTGAAGAATAGGCTTGTGACCAAGAATATGCGGAGGCCAGTCCGTTGTGCTCACCCAGCCTTCCGTAAACCCCTGCACCTGATAGTGAAGTCATTGCTCAGGCATTCTGATCTTCTAACCAAGAAGGTCAATCTAATTAATCAGAGATTCACATGAAACATTGGTGAACGTTTTGACACGCAGAGTTCACGTCATGTTTTGGGCGTTAATGTTTTAGGCACAGGCCTTTATGTTTTCAAGAAGATTTGCAGTCCTCTTATTACTGTGATTAAAGCCAGCCCATGCGCTGTAAAAGTAATGTGTTAGGTCACGCCCTGTAGGAAGTTCCACATTAGTATGGAAGGATATTGGAAGGACAAAGCTCTGTGCCATTGCTAATGAGAGGCCGTAAATTAAGGTAAAGGCCATTAATAACCCCTTTCATGTGTTCTCCAAGGTAAATTATGAGTAAATCCTGAAATGCAGTGGTGTTTGGTCTCGTGCACAGAATAGAGGGGTAGATTAGATTGAACCTGGGTATATCTGCATGGAGCATGTAGTTTTGTGAATATAGAGCAGTGGAGAACTTTATTTTACTTGTTTGGCTGCCAATGTGATGACCTGTGGAATGCAGCCTTTATTCTTATGACAGATGAAAAACAATGTGGTCAGCGCACACAGTGTTGTTCTGGACCCCGTGCCTCCTCTTTGTGGTTACAGTTGTGCTCTTTAACCTTTGTTCTGTTGAGGAATCCTGGGAATGTTTTTGTTGTATATGCGAACTTCATAAGAAAGTATCATTTGAAGGGGAAAGAGAACAGAATTTCTTGTTTCTTTCTTTCATACGACTGAATCAGATTGATGGCTGCTTTAATAGAGAACATGCAGGAACTATTTTCTTAGGAGTTGGAAATGTTTATCAAGACTTTATCACCAAGATGGACCTTGCTATTATCTAAGTCTTAGAGCTAATTTTGTAAAACCACGAAAAACTCTTGAGACGTTTCCAAATGTTTGGCAAGAATCTTTCTTCGTGTGCTTTTTGTGCTGACAAGCTGAGAAGAATTGCATGCAAGTGGAATCAAGCATCCAGGAAAAATAGGGTGCGGCAATGTTTTTGAAAGGGTTTGTCCAGTGTGGACTGTTTTCCATCATCTAGACATGTTCACAAGTACTTCAGTTCCCCCATAACTAAATGGTCTTTTCATAATAAATTATGTCACTTTGTTTCCAGCTTTTATCAGACTAGGTACTGCAGAAAACACTGTCTGGTTTCTTTTTTGGCTGAGACCTTCAGAGTCAGGCTCATGAGGATTTATAATTAGCCAGAGGAGATTATAAACCCGAAGGTTCTCATGGTCTCAGAACTTTGCCCTTCACTCTGCGTTCCTCTCATTAGTTTTTGGCAAAGTGAAATATTATTTTCTTCTCGTTTTTATTTCTAGAGTACTTCAGATCAGATTTCTCAGGTCTTTTTGTAACACAATATCTGCACATCTGTGAGTTTTAATGCAAATAAAATCTAATTTGTCATGGATAAAGTGAGACATTTAGAAGTGGGGAATGATTCATACATCTAAAGCTATTAAAAAAAAAGGTTAAAATATTGTCTCTATAAAACTTCTGGTTAAGTCAGATGGATAAAGGCAACATCTTGTGGTCAGAAATGAAATTACACAGTTGGTTTTCTGTAGTAAAGTGTAGGAGTCCTAAAAATACCAACTAAAGAAGGTTTTTGTTTTTAAAAGGTTTTGCAATTTACTATAAAGTATATACTGCAAATTCTAAGCCTTTAATTTAAATATGTAGTACTATTAATGAAGACACAAATGTTAAGATTTGTTTGATACGAAGGGATAATGCTCTGTGTCCAAGTTAAAAAGAGGTTTTAACTTAACCCTGAAGACCATCAATTACACCTTTTATCTGTTCTCCAAGGAAGATGTAAACTGTGAATAAATTCTGAACCATGTGATGCACAGAATAGAGTGGTTAATGAGTTTGAATCTGGGCACATCTGCGTGAAGCATCTAGTTTTACAGATGTGTAATGGTGAATAACATGTTAATTTATCTGTTTGGCTGCCAATATGATGACCTGTGGAGCTCTGTGGTCCTCTTCTCCTTTTCGATACAGCTGACACTCAGAGAAGAAGATCTGAGACAGTGCAAGAAGGAGCAAGACGAAGCTGTTCTCAGAGGACAGAAACTGGAACAAAAGATTTATGACCTAGAGATCGAGCTGGATGCCAAATCCCACGTCAAGGACGACAGATCGCGACAAGTCAAGCTGCTGGAGGTACCGTATGTGAGCTCAACTGTAGAGGATTTAACCAGGAATGTCTTTTTTTGTTTCTGCTTTAGAAAAAAAAAAGACTTTCGAGGACTAATATAAAGGGTCAGATCTAGAAATCCTTTGGCACAGGTGCTTGAACGTGCTTTTTTCCAGTGATGTCAGATTTAAAATGCTTAAATGCTCCTGCCCCCGTGTATTTCAGCATTGTGACTGTCAGTGGGAAAAAAGACATCTTAGCTGAAGAAATGTGTTGCTAAATATCACAAGGTGCGGCTGATTATTCTGACGATGGCATAACAAGGGCAAAGGAAGCTAAAACAAGCACAGTTGACAGTCCAAAGAGAGACGTTGGCAATTATGTTTAGTTGCTGGAATTAAATGTTCAATGAAATAGACGCACATGTTATCCCACTGTTCCTTTTAAACACGCTTCCTAAACCTGATTCCTTGCTGGTTCTCATTCGTGCTGAGCTCTCAGTGACTTAATTGAATCAAAGATGTGACCTTCTTAATGCTTCTCACGATCTGAAGGGTTGCGGGTTTTAAGTCACTAATCAAATTTTATGGGTGAACCTGAAATCCCAAGCTGTTTTTTTCCCCCCAAAGAAACAAAAATGATTTAGCGGAGCAAATTATTTGTTCAATAGACCGATTGAGCAGAATGAAAACCAGATGAGGACCCGGGACCCTCAGATCGGGCTTTGACAAGCCGCAGTGCGGGAGACGATGTTTTATTTTGTGAAAATCTTGGCTGTGAAACAATGCCCCCTCCTCCTCCCCCCGTCCACAGGACAGGATTGCCCAGCTGGAGCTGGACCTGGAGGAGGAGAGGAACAGCGGAGACTTGCTCATGGACAGGATCGACCGGGGCCGCGAGCAGGTGGGTAAAGACCAGTCCCACCCACCCCCCCAGTTAGGAGCCAGCGGGTCCAGTTAGTCACTGACCTGTGGGAACGCTGCCAAGCAGTCACAACAGGAGCTTGGGTGGAGTGGAACAGCGGGTGTCTCTCTGGCTCTTGGGGACCACCAGTGTTCACCCTGGCTGAACAGGTTGTGAGTGATTGTGATCCCAAATGCACTAATCTCTGCAGACAGTGTCACACATGCAGTTTCACAACCAGGATCTTCACATCTATCATGGTTTTAACCTAACTGATCAAGGAAGAACTTGCTTTCAGTCAACCTAATCTGATATCCATCTAGTTGTTAGGCTGCTTTCTTTCTGGGCACAGAATTCTTTGGATTTGCATTACACAAGCATTGCCAGCCAGACATAAGAACAGTTACAAACGAGAGGAGGCCATTCTGCTGAACTAGTAGCTAATTGATCTAAGGACCTTACCCTGGCTTCTTTTAAGAAATGGCTGGATATCAGGTGGAGAGCTTGTTCTACAGCCCCACAGCCCTTTGGATAAAAGTGCCTCCTATTCTCAGTTCTAAATGCTTTTCCCCACTTACCATTTGTGTCCTCTGGTTTGAGTTTTGAGTTTCACTCTGGCATGACTTTATTACTGCCTTTAAGATTTTGAATACTTGTGTCAAGTCCCCTTCTCTTCTCAGTTTAGACTAAAAGGGTTCAGTTCCCTTGTGGGACATTCCCTTAAACCCTGGAATGGATCTAGTTCCTCTTCTCCAGACTTATTCCAGAGAAATCTGTGGTTTATGCAGGATTCAAACGTGCATTGGAAAATCCCATTGGATTCCAAGTACAACACCTTAACCACTCTACCATCTCAACTCTTGAAAAATGTGTTGAAAAGGTTATGAAATCTGATTGGTTTTTGTGCTTTTTTGCTGCCCCTGAACTAGTTTGATCCCTGTTTCTGAGTACAGAGGCAGGAGTGAATATTTAGGTCACAGCACCTTTGTAGCCAGAGACTGTGTTTAGACATGTCCATCCTGAAAACAGGCTTTGACGTGGCTGCATGGTAGCAAAAGACCGGTCATATATTCAGCGCATTTTCATTGTGATAGTAGTGAGGGTTCTTGTTAATTTCTGCTCCAGTGAAATTGGTCTTTTAGGGAGGTGTAAGAGGATCTTGCATAATCATCATGCTTGGCAACATGCCCTGTTAGTATTAATAACCCTACCCCTCCAATTTCATGCATCAATTACAAAAGGTTCTTTATTCAGCTGAGACGCCAGACATCTGAAACATTTCACAGAATTTAGGTAACTTGGCTGTTTAAAGATTCGAAAGAAAATGTTGTTGCATATATATTTTTAGACTTTTATACTTTTGAGGGTTTCTTTAGTTTTTTGTTATTTAATGATGTAACTTACTGAGGGAGACACAATGGGCTGTTTTACAAAGAACATACAATGAAAACAGCTGTTTCAACAAATTTCCTAAGAGAAATTTGAGAAACCAGCAGTTCCCCTAACATATTCCAATCTCCTGCTCCATATCCCATAAGTGCCTGCTGTGATGATGTGTCTCTACACACCTTGTGAATTCCACATCACTTTTTGGATCATAAAATGGATAATAGCAAGTTATTCATCTTTTAATGGTAAACAAATTGTTTTAAATGTAGGCGTTGTTTCAAGAAGTAGCTCTGTTTCTATTAAATAGGGCTTCATGAACAAAATCAGAACAGAATAACAGAAATATAGACAGTGTTTTAAGTATTGGCCTCTGTATCACTTGGCTTCACGGATGAATGAAAAAGTTTCTCACGGAACATCACGACAGACAAGTTGAAATACAAGCAGTTTCTCATCTGAAGCCAAAGACCATGAAGCCTAACTGCAGCAGTAGGAGAAACCAGCTCAAACAAAGCAAGAGGAAACAGGAAAGAGGAGAAACCACCTCCATCTCCCAAACCAGATTTTCGTCTCTGTGCCCAAGAGCAAAACAAATACAGAACAGAACTCTGTGCTATTTTCTGGTTGCTATGAGAAGCACGGGGTTGCCAGGGAAACGCCAAAGGCGAATACAGGAGGGGAAGACTGTTACAGTCTTGGCTGCCCGCTGGTGCGTTATCATGCAAGGTTACGGTTATGGCCCACCTGCTCCTCTCCTGGTAGCAGGTGTGCCGTCTCCTCTAAATGGGAATAATCTCCCCGTTCCCAGAATGCGGAATAAAAAGCTGATTTGCTGCGCTGAGTTCCAGTCTGCTGAGTCAGGTCCCTGAAGCATTTAAATGCATGTACCAGTTTGTAGGCCATCATTCAAAAGAGGATGCCCAATTCAGCTTGTAATTGGCATAAAATATCTTCCATTCTGGGCTCCTTTATTGGAAAAAGAGCCCGTCCCGTATTATTCAGCATCATGCCTTTTCCCCATTAGTTCTGTTCAATCACCGTCATTTAATCCCAGTGAAGAATGGCAGCTTTCACTGTGGTCCGAGGTCATCGTCACCATTCTGGTTTGCTAGGAGGTTGACTTTTGTTTCTCTGTGTGCTGAAGGAGAATGTGCCATCACTGGTTAGCAGCAAAATGTTATTGAAAATCAAAATAAGAAGTTGTGTGAAAGACTTGGCTAACAAACATGAAGTATGATTCATGTTGTACCTGCGCTGTTGTAACGATGTGACATTATTTCCCTTCTGGCTAAAAAATTACATTTGATCTCTTTTTCTCCTAAGCAAATTCACATTGCGGCCTCCTGCAAAGGGAGGATCAGATTTAGTGCATTAAAACTGCACATTTCCCTGTGCAAAACCTAAGCTAAATGAATAGCAGATCTGCATTAATTGGAATGAAACCTATGACACGAGCAGAATTTCCCCAAAGCTATCTCTGTCAGATGTGGGCCTTTCCAATCTATCCCTTTGCAATTGAGTGGCACAACTGTTTTTTTAATTGTTTAATTAATTGACAAGTAATTAAATTAGAAAATTAACCATGTGAATGTACTGAAAACCTGCACTGGGATGGTTAGGGAGTTTACGGACCAATTGCGAATAGAAAATTAAGCCTTTAAATAATTGATCTGGTCTCTTTGCAGTCCAATGCCATCAATTTCTAATTGTCTGCAAGGTGCAAATTCAAACGAAACGGTGAGCCAATCTGAAGTGCATTGCAGAATACAATCTGAAGAATGCTAATTACTTTATGCAGAAAGAGATCTATGCTAACATTTAAGTCGAAATAGCCGACGTGACCTTCAAACAGCGTACCGTGGTATTGCTCTGTAGGAAGGTTTCTGGTAAAATGCTGTTCTAGTGACTTCAAAGGGCAATTTCAATTGAGCTGTTTTTTTCCCATGGGATGTTTTGCATGCCTTTCTGTGTTTGAGTAGACCTTTCTGCCTACCGAAAAGAAACCTTAACTCGCTAGTCTAACAGAAATATAATTTTCAGAGAAACTGCCTGAGTGGGTTATGAGGATTGTGGGTGTGTGATGAGGCATAAATGTTGTTGTTTTTTTACCCTCTTTTCCTCTGATCCATCTTGGATCACTCATTTTCATGTCTTATTTTTGTTCTCATAGTTTATTCACCCTTTGGCAAAAAAAATGCATAATGGAAGTAAGATATGATTGTATTTCCAATTAATTCCAAAAATGCAGTATCTTCCAGCTTTTCATAGGAGATCCGAAGGAAAGCTGAACTAAATTTGTGGCTGTGATGGACTTGTTTTTTATTTTTTGAGATGGCTGATTCTCGTAGTGGATGTCTAGCTAAAGACACGTTTTTGTTTCAATGACAGCTCGAACAGATGAGGAATGAACTTCTGCAGGAGAGAGCTGCGAGACAGGACCTGGAGTGTGACAAGATTTCACTGGAACGACAGGTAGACTGCCTCGTCAGGTGCCCTATTCATCTCATTACTGCCTGGGGTAAACGGAGAGTTTCTACTGCAACTCCATTAAACTGAAATAAAGAGCACTTCTTAATCTCTCTTTTATTTCATCCCCCAGTAAGTCTGACAACCTTTATCTTCTCTTCTTACAACACGTTTTTCTAATGAACACCTCATCTGTTTTCTTTAGAAGGGAGTATTTCTATTGGGGAACTTCTCACCCTCCCCCAATACACACAATACAAACCCCATCAGCTGCAGCTTTATCTGAAGCTGTACAGGAGTTATCTGGTGCCACAGTGCTGTTGCATCAACATTTTAAAAAAGGAGCGGTATTGCGTAATGACTGACATAGCTTGACATGGTAAACGCAACCGGCCCACTCTTTAATTAGGAAACCACGTATTAATATGCTTCCCTCTCTAGACAAGCTGTGTTCAGTGCATCTGCACCACATGGGCGCAGCATTTGGGAAAACATGCACATTAACCTGCATTCCCATAAACTTCATTATAAACAGATGCCAATTTAGAAACTCCTATTGCATTTGCTATACCTACCATGTAAATGAATTAGCTAACTGTGTGTTCGCACACGGGAAAGTGAGGAAGTGTAGGCAGGCTCTTCCCACACACTCACCTTCCAGACAGTTGCCTTTTGACACACACAGGCACCACAGCCCCATACCAGGGATTCAGTGCCAATTGGAGGAGAGAAGTTTCCCCCAACAACAGCACGATGTAATTGAGCACTTCCTGATGTTCACTGTGATAGAGACAAGAGTGCCCTGGTCAACTGATCCCTCCCTATCCTTGATAGTGCTCAGCTAATTGTACGTCCTAACCCTAACTTGGGTACTGACTAGAGCTCAAACCCTGATCCTATAGCTCAGTCATCACTAGAGTGAGGTCCATTACTGGTTGAGCCATATGGTTTTTAATTAATGAGTCTGCGGAGTGCTTCCCATGGGGTTTGTGCACTCTGTTGTCTTATTTCAGATACAATACCACATGCTTGTTTCATCCTTCAGGTGTTCTTGAGTATTAATGTGAAATCTGTTTTATTCAACTCCAGAATAAAGACCTGAAGAGTAGAGTGGCCTATCTCGAAGGCTCCCAGAAACCCAACAAGGATGGCCTGGTCTCCCAACTGGAGTCCAGAATCCAGGAACTGGAGGAGCGTCTGGAAGTTGAGGAGCGGTAAAGATCTAGCAGTCGGAAAGCACATTTCGATGTGGCTCTCTGCTTTCAGTCACAGACATCGGAGAGCAAAACATTCTGTTTGTGAAGAGACTCCAAACTGAATTTAATACAAGATCGGTTTTCCAAAGAACTGGATCTGTTCACTGTCTCTGAGCTGTCACAAATTTTCTTCTCTTAATTATGGGAAAAATTCTGATTAAATTAAGAAATATTCTTTCCATGTTGTAATGGGAATAATTATAGAATTTCAGTTAAGTAATTCTTGAATTACTAATTCCTGAAAAATCAACGTACTACTAGTAATTCCTACTTTATATCCCAACAAGAATGCTGGACTGCAGTATCTTGAGATGCTGTATATGATGACAGATGAGATATAGATGGCCAGTGTAATACAGGAATAGTGTAGTTCTTGGTTTCAAGCTCTGTTCATCAGTGGCCGTCATTCAGAGACAGTACGCAGGCACAGGGGAGGGGGTGTCTGAGAGACACCCTGTCCTGTCTTTGTTGTGGTGGGATGACTGAGCGGTGCCCTTCCTCCCGTAGGGATCGCGCTAACCTCCAGATGGTCAATCGCAGACTGGAGCGGAAGGTCAAGGAAATGATGATGCAGGTGGAGGACGAGCATCGCACTCTTATGGACCAGAAAGACCAGGTGAGGTTACTAGTGTCACTGGGGGCAAGCAGCCTGACTAGCGGCCTTTCCCAAACCAGTTGGAAGCATGATTTTTTCCCTCTCTTTCCAGTTTTGTTCAGCTGCAAATCCTTTATTTCCCCATCTGTAACGTTAAAGGACGCTTCGGTGTCATTTACAGTGGACTCCAAGGCCAAGATACAGATGCTTGGCACGTTTATTAATGTGTAAATTCAGAAATAAAGCCAGCAAAGAGCTGTTAGAGTGGTCTCTTGGAGAGACGTCGCTCACACCCACAGAGAGCCTCTCGAGGGAATGGCTTGCTTTTAACCCGCCGTGTCCTGGCCACCTTTCAGCTGACCCTGCGGCTGAAGGCCCTGAAGAGGCAGATGGATGAGGCGGAGGAGGAGATCGACAGGCTGGAGCACAGCAAGAAGAAGCTGCAGCGTGACCTGGACGAGCAGGTCGAAGCCAACGAGCAGCTGCAGGGGCAGCTGAGCTCGCTGCGCAACGAGATGAGGTGAGCGGGCCGATGGCGAAGAACATCAGAACGTCCGTTTGCTGCTGGTTTTTACCCCATGTAAAAGTGAAGGTACCGCATTTTGCGTTGCAGTCGCCTGTGGCCGGTCCTCTCTGGAACATTGAGATTGGTGGGAAATGGGCGAGGTTCGCGTGGGCTCTGTCCGAGCCGGTGCACACGATCTGTCTGAACACAGTCCTCTCGCCTCTCCCTCTGCAGGCGCAAGAGCACGCCGGCAGCTCTCCTCAACGACCTCGACGAAGACGATGACGACGACCTCAGCATCGATGGAGACAATTTCTATAGCTCGTCTACCGGATACAAACTGTCTAATCAAGATCATTCCCCATGAATGAGCATCTACGTTATACGCAACACAAAACTGGACAAATTCACTTGAGGTTGGAGGACTTGGCCGAGCAAAATTATGGGAGTTTAAGTAAATGTTTTACTTCCAATGAATTAGTTATTAACTCCATGTCTGCTCCATCGCCTGCATGCAAGTCAGCACATCTTTTTGACCAATTGAGACTGTTTTCAAGCAGGCCGCCCATGATGTTTGGATTCTGTTACTCTTTTGAACCTATCTTGCGTTTTTGCCATCTTAATTAACCTGCGAGTCAAAAAGTAGGCGTTTATTTTTTATTTTGTTCTTTAGCAGTTTTTCTTTGTATGCCATTATTATTTCTGAATAACTTGAATATGCGTGCTGCCAACTTTGAGCATAATGCCTTAAATGTTTTATTTATTATTTTCTGTATAGAAAACAAAAATGAAGGAGGAGAGATTTTTCAGTAAGGGATATTGTTATGAGGGATCATGTTTTATATATATACGTTTTAAATAATTTTGTACATATTTAAAAGATTTAAATTCCTATTCATTTTAAACATGCAATTCTTTTTGTATTAAGCTTAGGTGGAATTTTTAAATCCTGTCTAACTGGAGGAAATTAGAAGATGCTTTACCAAAACTCCCTTTTGACTATAAACAAAAAATATATTTATCTTAGAAAAGGTATCGGTTACTACATCATATGCTTAAAGTGTTTATTTTATGGTTGACTGAACCTGAGACTTTCTACAGCTTAATTTACTTAACCGTTATTGAGCATGAAGACTAATTTTCTTTAAAAGTTCAGAATGGAATACCTTACGGACTAGCATATAGACATCCCCTACTGATAAAGTGCCTGTGTGTAGCCTTAAAGTATCATTGAGGCATTTGGTCTTATTTTTGTAAAGAGAATCTCTGTACAAGAATCTTAATTTTTCAGGTGGCAGACACCGAAGCATGTGAAAACAAACCAGTGTTATCGTCAGTGTTAATGTCGCTGCTTCAGTCAAGAACTTCATAGTGAGCAGTTTCTCCAGACAAACTGGAGTCATTGTGTAAGCAGGTTTTAACCACAGCCCTGCAATATAGAATCAGATGGCCTCAACACAGAGGTAACACAAGCGTGACGCAACACCGAGCCAAAAATCCAGAAGAACCAGCACTTCCCAGTCTGGTAGTTCTTGGCGCTGTGCATCACACAATTATACCGCAAGTCCAGAAGTGTTGAGGAAAGACATTCCAAACTGGCTCGTTCCATTTGAGAACAATTACTGCACAATGTTACACTGACATTCCCCTAGCTGTGCTGCTCTGGGGTGTGTTCTTCTATTGCTTTCACATAGACACCACTAGTCCTGCCGGGCGGCAACGTTGCTGGTCTGTTGCTACTCCATAAGCCATTGGGGAATGAGTCAAAAATAATTACACTGCTACCTCTCGGTGTCCGGAACTGTAAAGCTGCAGCAACACCTTTTGGGAAATAAAGGATTATTAGCCAACCTGTTGTGCTGTTCTCTTCGGGATCCTCCTGGTGATAAACTGCAGGAAGCGCTGTTGTCTTTGACCCAAGTGATTCACCTTGGACCACATAAGCACTCGCTGTATCCATGTTTTTTTCCCCCAAAAGCATGATCCTTTGGTGAATACGGAAGGTTTAAGATTCATTTAAAGCTGTCCATGGTCAAATAAAAATGCACGCTTTGTACACTGAGCACAGGCATTGAGCATATCGGACTTGAAATACATTATGTACACAAGAAAAGCCTGGTATTTGCCCTTGCATTAATGGAGTAGGCAGGGTCATTCAATTCTTATTCATTCCTTTCAGTTCTCCTGAAGTTGTTTTTAAAGGATCCCCGGTTCTCTATTCTGAACGGCTGCATCGGTATCCAGATCAAGCCCCTTCCAATGATTGTCTAGTATGACATGGTTCCCAGGGATCCTGTCAGAGCAGCTGACACTATTATGCCATCACATGTTTTGAAGAGAGAAAATGATGAATCCTTTGTGTTGAAGTGGACCCAAGATGGAGTATGCATTATTTGAGGGTGTGTGTGTGTGTTGGGGGGGTGGAGAAGGTCACACATTTCTTCATTGTATTAAGAGGTAAAATAAAGATCTGACGTGCCACCTCAACCTTGTGCTATTTTCCGAGGGTCGTCACCTCCACTTGTTGCCCGTCCTTGAAGCACAGAAAAATGTGACCTCAACGTGAGGGGACAGATTTGCCTTTTCTTCTACGTCTCGCATATTACGAAGTCACACGCTGCAGAAGTTCTGTTGTCCGTAGCTGAAACGGTCACCATTCCTGGAATTCCTCTTCTTTGAAACGCCGAGCTGTGTCTCGGCAATAAACGGTATGACGGGATGCTCCAGGAGGGGCTGAATTCTGGAGCTTTTGTCATTTCATAAGGGATTAGCCATTTTTTTTTTTCAATCAAATAATTCTAGTTGCATGATTTGTTGAGTTTGCGATAATCCCTTTGCTAAACCAGGTCAAGTACTTTCTCGAGTTGAATGCAAATGTAAAGCTTCACCTAGGAGCCATTTTATTAACCAAAGTACCAATGAGTACTTTTTATGACTGGCCGGAGAACATATATATATATGTTCTCAGTTCAAAGTACATCTGCATCTCCCCCTCAACAACACAATAAAGCAATACTTTTAAGTTTATCAGTGACACTGAAATGGTTAAGGGCAGCAATTTCTCACTGCTGTCTATGCTTTTGCACTGAATGGCTCCGTGCGCTATTAAAGCCGTCATTGGCTGTCTACCTTTCTTTCATATCGCCGTGCTGCAAGCCAAAACAAACTTTGTTCTTTTCCCATGAGGTGCAAAACATAATCTTTGAGATTGATATGATTATTCGTGACGGAAAGAGAGATACTGTAAATGTAAGTTTAAATTACTACTATGTAACAAATAGCCTAATGTAGTTGGCTAGCTCAACCCGCTTGACGCTTTAGCGAAGGAAAACGGTGTTTTTTCTATCCCTGGATGCCCCCTAGTGGTAATTAAAAAAACATAATCGTGGCTTAATTGTTTTTCAGTTTTGGGTCACTGCAAAACGTAATATTGCTGAAATTTTGCAAATAAAAACATTTTTCATTGTTTGAATGCAATACAACACGTGAGTAACATTATTCAGTACATATCCTTTCTGTATATGAAGGTTAACCAAACATTTTTGAATGTTCGTTTGATCTGCTGTAAGTACACGATATTAATCTTCATATAACTGTTTTCAGATACTGTAAGTGAATTTTTCACTGTTTCTAGCAGCAGTCCTTTATGAAATGAAGGTTTTCTCCACAAATTATCTACCATGCAGTTTAGAAAAGACATAAGCTAAATAGACTTGCACTTATGTTTTCAAGACGCGAATCCCTGCGTGTTTGGCGCCGGGGTTGTTAGTGGAATCTGAGGCAGGCTGCGTAATTGTAGAAGCTATATGGTTGTTTAGTGCCTTGTGTGTTATGTGCAATTTAAGAGCACCTGCATGTTGTAGTCCCAGGAGGATTAAGGGAAATATAACTGGATCCCATGAACCCTGTGATGTGACAACCAGGTGTAGATTCAGAATATAGGAATTCCCAAAACCCAAACAGTACACATGCTGCCAGCATTAAGAGAAGCAGTGAAGGCCATTGTCCTGCTAAAATTAAGCTGTCTCTCAGAGCAAATATCAACCGTAATGGTCTGGCTCTTTGCATGAGACACATCTTTAGATCCTGTCCTTAATTCCTTCATGAGGTGGAAGGGAAGATGAATCTCAGATTTGTTTCTGGAGAGCTGCGCCTTGGAACTTTGAATGGCAGGCATGGTAATAAAAAAGGAATGTAGCATTCCATGGGCACTGCTGTCTTTTCAAAGATCAGAGCCTGTGAGCTGAAGAGCAGAACGTGTCTGTAAACAGGAACCAGTTTGTGTCACAGGATTCTTGGAAAAGTCTGTCATGCTCATATCAACAGAAGGGAAGTTCTAAAAGGTTAGTATCATGTGGGGAGAAACAGAACTTGATTTCATACAATTTTTCAATCACTACAGATGTTTTTCATGATTTAGACCAAACATTTCTCCCCTTGAATGTATCAATCCTTGTTGTGAAGCTTGAAGGAAATGTTTCAAAAATGCGTGACGCACATATATAGTAGGAGTGATTTCTTTTTAAATAAAATGCTCCTCAGGCAAAATATGACAAATTCAATTCATTTTAAAATAAGATTACAATGAGGAAATAATCGGGAGGCACAGTGGCTGCCAGTACTGCCTCACAGTGCTGGGACCCTGGGTTCAATGTGTCTGTGTGCCTGCCCTGCGATCGGCTGGTGTCCAGTCCAGGGTGTACCCTGCCTTGTGCACACTCATGCTGGGATAGGCTCCAGTTCCTCCTCAACCCTAAATTAGCTGAAGCTTCTCAACCACTCCAGAGGCATGTTCTAAGTTGTTATTACATGTTAAATGAAAAGTAGAAAATTCAGCGATGCCCACCCCCTCTTTGGAATACTCTTCCCGACTATACCAAAAACACCCCCTGGTTTTAAATCATGCCTCAGGTATTCTAGTTTTCTATTTCTACCTTTTATTTTCCTCAACTACCTTCAGTTCCTAACCTATTTATTTCTTTTATTTTCATGATTCATTCAATTTTCTTATTATTCTCTTTCTGCTTCTGTGCATTTTTTGTCATTTTTGTACAATTTAGGTACAGTGCCTTGAGAATGGTCTTATTGAAAGGTGCTAGATAGGAATATGTATTAGGTTTATTCCATGCTGAGAAGAAAGAAAACACAGCTTTTCGGCTGTGGGGCCTTCTTCGGGTGTAAGGAAATGTTTTCTTTCTTCTCTTTTCAGCATGGAATAAACCTATTACTTGTTCCTTTGCAGCCTGCACATGCTGACGTGGCTACCCACCTAAACTAGATAAGAACATGATTGATTGATGGATTGATGAGAACAAGAAAGAAAGATGGTTTTAATAGCTCAGCGATGTGCGATACGACAGGAGTTGATGCTCATTTTGGGCCGAAGGAAATGCATACATAGCCAGAACACACATTGGGTGTATTTTTCTAGGAAGGTTTCCACTTCTTGTCACCTCAGGCGACTTTTATTTCACACTTGTTGCTCCAAGAGGAATTTCAGACCGCTAACCCAGTCTTAGCCAATATCTGTACTTTTGGACTTTGTCAGCTACACCAACCTGTTTATATGGTGCTTGTAAAATGTGTCCTTTAGTGCTAAAATAATCAAGGCAGCTGGCTGTCCACATTGTTCACCCAGTGCCCAAGGAAAACTGGTCTGAACTTGAGAATTAAAAGAAAGTGTCACAGCTGTCCAAAGCAATATGTACTCATGCAATAAAGCAAAAAAAACAACTCTGAATGGTGGACAAGGTGTTGCAAAACATGAGTGGTATGTATGTTTTCAGTTTAATTTCCTGGCTGTACTAGAACATGCAGGGTCTTAATTTCCAGTTCGGTCAATCTGGGGTGTTTGCTCCCAGTACTGGTGTGGAGACCGTAGAGAAACAGATCCAGAACAGCACCATGGACTGACCAGCCTCCTCTGATATGTAGCCTTCCTGAATGTTTTAAACATTGACGAGGAACACACAGCCTGATTGCGAGAGTGTGCCGTCATCACAAGGACAACTATTCTCCTTATACAGCCGCCTCTACAATTTTCATCCCTGTGCCCCCACAGAGGCTTTTTGCTCTTCTTCACACTAAAGCAAGGGAACGTGAATCCTGAGTCCTTACGGGCTTCATACTCGTGTCTCCTCTCTGCCTGTGGGTTAGTGTCTTTCTTAAGAGTTACTGATCATCCAGCCTGGGAGATACCGCATGAGGACACTTTTATCTGCAGTAATAAGAGGAACTACAGCAGCAGCAACAACGAAAACAGTAAATTAATATTACAAAAACGTTCTTTCCCTTCATAATTGATTTCTTCCTTTTAGTTTCACATTTATACATCACAGTTTTGTTGTATTTTTTGTTTACTTTTCACATGTATACTTTATGTAGATTGTTTTGAGAGTGCTCTGGGTTGGAAGGTGCTATATAGAAATACAACTGATTGCATGATTGCATGATTGATTGAAATACCGTGTAAAGGTTTATTAAACTTAATGGAACTTGTTGGGAGGAATCAGCCATGAACATTCGGGTTTCTATAAAGAACTCAGTGTAACTGGCGGTACACATGGGTTTAAATTCAGCTGCCAGTCATAGTCATGTTAGGAGCTTGAAACCTTCCTGCCTCTGGTTGCACTGATCTCTCTGTCTGGTCGTTCATGAAAGACACCAACAGAAAACACTCTGGAACAAATTAACATGACAGAGACTTAAAGTAGGAGCCGCCTAATCGTCTTCAACTGATCGTTACAGAGGTGTGAAAGGATTAAAACTACATTATATTTTACCTTTGGTTACTGCCCTGTCTTTCTCACACCTGAAGAAGGCTCCACGCCCAAACCGTTTGTGTTTTCTTTCTTCTCTTTTCAGCATGGAATAAACCTATTACTTGTTCCTTTGCAGCCTACGCCTGCTGATGCAGCTACCCACCTGAACTACATTATATTTTGACTTCTTTCAGCAATGATCAGTACATTTTATTATATGTTAGATTGTATTTTATCACAGCTGGGACTTCCTATGGTCATTTTACACATTACTATGTTCAATGGAAGTTAGAAAGTTACAAAGTTGCTCTACTGGTTAAGTTTGTTTAGATGCACAATACTGCATGTTTGAGTTACTGGTAAATTATTCCTTAAAAAGTTCCATGACGCCTTACATTATTTCCACATTTGCCTTACATTTATGGTGTATAATATGTTATCTAAAGAAGATAGCTCTTGATCTGTTGAATCCAGTTATATCAAGAGGCTCTTGGTTAAATTGGATCTGGCTCTTTTTTAGTTTCTCACCTGTGTCCAATGAACAGTCTGACTATAACCCTCAACCCAGCCCTTCTCTTAACTCAAACCCGGCTGGATCTTGTATATACATTTCTTCTGCATAAAGGTTTGCATTATTCATTTAGATAAAAACATGCCAAAACAATAACTTCTATGTACTGATTAAGGCCCTTACATTGAACATTCAAATTAAAAGTGCCTTTAGGATTCAAAAACATTGAATCCTACACAGTTTAAATCTTATTTCATAATGAATTTTGTCAGGTGTCACACTAGAAATCTGTTTTGTTTTGTTGGTGTGTTTGGATTGGCCTGCTGAGCATACATTTTACTAAAGACTGATGTTGTGAAGAAAAAACAAGAAGAAAAAGGTTATTGCAGCCAGTTCTTTATTATACAATCTAGTCGAGTCCCTGTTTAGTATCTCCCAGTCTTTGGCCAGAGTTTTCAAACTACTGTTGCACTGTGAAGAGCTGGATGTAGCTTAACTACTATACCAGTTTTTACATTGTCTAGTTTCTGCTGTGATCTGACACAGAGTCGTGTGACAATGACAGGAAAGGAATCTCACTGACGCAAGTTAGTTCTGGTTGTCCTGTCTGGAATGCAGGCCAACTTTTTAATTCAGTGTGGTGAGTTATTTATGCCTCATTGCAAGAGTAAAGAAGTCACTGCGTTTTCTTCTGTGTTTTTAATTCCTTTTTTTTTAAGCTGGCTCACACAGTATATTCAAATACCTCAACGCCCTTCTACAATAATAGGAGAAGGGGTGGAGCACAAGAGTAGAGGCTGAATTCCTCATCATTTGAAATTTGCATGAAATAAACGGGCATGGAAAACTTACACGGAGAAAAAAGGACATTTGATCTACTTTTTAAAAAATATATCAATTGTTTGGTTGTTTGGCCTATACTGGATTTCATTGTTATACATATATCAGTTGATATTTTCAAATAACCACAGCAAAATGTGCAACCGAAGGGAACAACTAGTTTAATTTTTCATGAATGACATTTGGAGACCAAGAAAGACGTTGAAGGCGGTAAATAGCATATTTTTCGTAGCAGCAGTCTGTGGTTTAAATGTATTCCTTCCAACCAGCACCTAGGAAATTGCACCTGTCACCTTTAGCACCACCCTCAGGAAATACTCTCCAGCACTGCACCAGCAACGCAGGTGAAATGTAGCTTAACAGGTCTGTTGAGAAGAACAGGCCAGAGGTGCGTTGTTTCTGCTGAAGAACTACTAAGAGACTATCTTTCAGAGATACCCAGGTGTTGCCTCTGTCAGCTCAGTGTCCTGATTATCCTGTGTAGAGGCACTTCTGCTTCCCTTGAGCTCCACTTTTTGGCACCGGGAGAGGATCTCTTTGTGGTTGTCAGCCTCCAGGCCTGTCTCCTCCTTATCAACTGGGAAAGGAATTCTTTCTAGAGGAAACACACGAGCCTTTCTTTGTAGGCTGGAAGTATTTTTTTCCCCCCCGTGCTTTCCCACAGGACACAGAACAGGTGGCTCAAGGGCCTGAGAGCTGCTGTTTTCAGTCCAGGGGACCGGTGCGCTACGACGTCGCTCTCCAGCCTGAGGAGAAATGATCAAGTACGGCTCCAGGAGCACAGTCACGACCGCCGAGACTCAGGACTCTGCCGGGGAGGTGAGTGTGGGAAACCCATCAGTGAGATACTGCTCTGGTGCACAGCACTGCCCGTCAAAGCCTGGGCTCACATTTCTGTCTCAAAATTCGGATCTGCTGAGCACATTTGACCCCCCACCACTGCCTCCTCCTTCTCTGCTTGCTTTGCTTTTCCTCTTCGTTCTTTTCCACTTTCCCCCCTTTGCGTACAAACTTTGCGTCCTTGTGACTTTGTTTTAACAGTTGGTAAAACTGAGATCTAGATTGCAACTAATCGAGTCCTTTGTATTGCAGAGCAGTGCTGTAGGGAATCTTGTTTCCTTTTGATGGGATTGTTGCTAGACATGCAGTAATGTAAAAGTTTATCTGCAAGACAGAAAAAAAAATGTTTTTCTATTGGTCTCGTGGATGATGTGTAGTCTGGATCTCTGTAGAAAGTGCTTTTAAAAGACCTTCTCACAGCCTAACAAACAGGAACAATCACCTTTTCCACCCAAAAGGCAGTATAGGTGTATGCACCTTCAGTTTTTGGAAACAAATGATTAAGAATCAAGTTAATTACTGACATATTCTTTCCTAGTTTCATGCCGAAACTTAAGCATGTGAAATACAAGAATCATTTCAGGTTGTTATATTTATATACAGTGCCTGTAGCAATATTTCTGACACTCTGCTGCACCCTCATGTTTTGTAAATGTCTTGGTTTCTGCTGTGTTGCCACACCCATGGAGAGAAGAGTTGATGACAACACTCTGTTGCTGGTGCTGTTCTGTCAGATGAGTTTTGGTAACAGTTCTCCCTGAGGACGTGTCTTCAGTTCCCACGAGAACAACAGCTTCTAAATTCTAAATCTTGGAAAGATTGTGTTTGAACAAGGCAACTGCAGATCACGGGGACTAGCGGCACCCAAGAACTGGAAGCATTTGAGAATGCATGAAAGCACTAGTCTTATATCCAACTGAATGATCGAGAGAGAAGCAATGGACCCAAGTTGTCCCTTACTTTTTTGTATAATGCTTTCGCCTCTCGTTAATTTTAATTGGAATGTTTAAATACTGTACATGGGGCACCACAGAAGGATAGTAAAGTTAGTTTCCAGATGCTTCCTGTTCATTCAATTGAAATTTACTATTTATTCCTGCATCAGGACATTGGAATGTCTTCATTGTTTCGCAAACTTGCAATGCCCCTAATCTATTGCACACATTCAATTATACTGTGCATACATCCTCATCTATTTTTGCTGTTTTATAGCTTTAGCTCTGAATGATTGCTGTGGTCTCAATAAGTAAAGGCAGAGTCCCTACCAGAGCCGTGGCAACCAGAATGTTTGTAGCATTAAGCTGACTGGTGAGCATGTGACTCCCCTCCTGGCTCGGATGCCGATTTGAATAAGATGCAGAAAAGTTTTACTGTCCAACATTTATATTACAGTGTGGAGCAGCATGGCTGTTAGCACTGCAGCCTCACTGCTGTTGGCTCCTGAGGATCCTTCTGCTTGGAGCTTGCATGTTCCAGTGAGGTTTTTTTTCAGGGTCTCCCATTTCTTTCCACCTTCGAACACAAATGGTGAACAGGGTCCTTTGTGTTTACATGTGCTGGTGTGTGTTTGCTCTGCAAAGGAAAGCCATCCCATCCAGGGTGTGGTGCTACCTTACAGCCTATGTTTCCTGGGACAGGGCTGCTGCAACCCTTAGCAGGATAAAGTGCCTTTCTGCTAATGAATGGATATTACCGGTTTGAAATAGTACATTGTACTTGCAGTGTGTATCCTTGCTCCTGCGATTGCAGGAAATAGTAAGCATTCTGGTGAAGAATGAAATAATTATTTTGTTTTTAACATAGAACTCTGAACTCCAGCAGCTTATCAAATATATTTCACTGTATATCTGTAACTGGCACAAATGGTTGTTAAATATAACTGTATCAATGCAGCTGTTTACCTATGGCTTTTGTAGGTGTGTGTGCTCAACATGTAAGTCCCATTACTCCGTTTGGCAGAACAAAATTAAGCCAGTTTGATAAACTTAATGGTGTGGTGGCATTTAAACTGAAAAGAGTTTAGAAGGCGGGGAAGGGTTGGAACAGGTTTTGATGCAGTACTGCTTCTTTTTTTTTTAAGAGGACTAACGTTCACACTTGTTTATTGAAGGAAAGACCAAGAAATTGTCTGTGCTACTGAGGTTATTTCTATCAGTGCCTTAGTGGTTCAAAAAACAGAGTTTCCTTCTCTTGCTCCTACATTTAAAGATTTATGTATACATTTTTTCATTTCCATTTTTTCACTGCTTCTTTGAATTCAGGGCTGTGGGGGGGGCAGAGCCTATCCCAGCAAGCAATGGGCTCAAGGCAGGGTACACCCTGGACAGGACGCCAGTCCATCACAAGGCCCACACACATACCAGGTTTATTTTTTCCCAGAAGCAAATTAACCTACCAGTATGCCTTTGGACTGTGGTTAATTTCAGAGAAATCCACATGAACATAAAAACTCTACACAGACAGCACCTCAGGAACCCAAGGCCCCAGCACAGCAAGGCAGAAATCCTAACCTCCACACCACCATGCTGGCCTTATGTATACTAGTATGCCATAATTACAGATCAACATTACTGTCCAGTATCTTCACTAGGTAATAGAAACTCCTGTTAGCATTATTCTGCGTGTCTTGAGTAAATTGCTGAGGATGTTTGCTAATCATGCGATTGTTCTGTGTGTGGCTGTTCCCCCAGCGGAGAGTGCGCAGGCTGAGACTCACCCTCCACGACAATGACGTGACCCCAGGGCCAGGGAAGAACACAGGAGCAGCAGAGGGGGTAAGTCAGTGCTCCTCCAGCACAGTGCCCACGGTCAGGCCGAACACACGGCAACCAAACACACTGCGCTCTCCCAGCTCACCTCCTGGCACCCCACTGAACGCCATCAAGTACACCATCTTCTTGGTACCCACAAAGAGACGGCCATTTTCATTTTGGGCTGTAAGCAAAAACAAGGCAATCAACGACAACAAAAATAAAAGTAATAGAAAGAGGTAGCTACTGTAAATCGGGACTTTTTTTTATTCCAGCATCTTAAAAAAAGGCTGATCTTCCCAGTCTTGGGGCTTTGGCTGAGCTGACGAATGTATTAGTAAAGGAACAAGCAGAGTTTAAGTCCATGCGAAAAGCTGAAAAGGAAAAAGAAGAACCAGAACGTGCATTTTTAGTATACTCAGATGTGTCAATAGTTGCCCAACACAAAATGTAAATTAAGAACAAGAACTAGAGATTATTGTCTCAACAGTACAGATATGATACAGCCTTGGTGTACTGTTACATTTCTTCATCTGCGCGGGAGCTCCACTTGCTCAATCTTAGTCAGAACATTGTGTGACACCGGCTCCCTTCTGCCTGCTGTTTCTGTTGCTGTTCTTTGCGTGACTTCAGCCAGTGCTGTGTACTTAATGACAGTCCTGGTAGAAAATGTTACACAGATACCGGATTCAAACGTCACTGATAAACAACATTCCAGAGATCCAGAGAGGCGACATCCAAAAAAACAATGAATCCTCTGAAAGATTTACCCGTTTTTTTTAACTGTGCCATTGTGCAATTGCCCTCGGACAGGACTATTGTAGACTACTGGTCCAAAAGCAAGGCTTTTGCAAAGGGAAGATGAAATGAAGAAGTTATAATGTGGGAGACTGTAAAAATAAAAAACCGATAGATGATTGTTAAAAATATACCTTAACATATACACAGTAATATGGATACATGTCTCTCCTTATGCAGTCCTTATGTGTGTACATGTGAGGAGCAGTACTCATCAGTCAGCTATGATAAACGGAAGGGCCTGCTCTGTCATGAAAGTTAGAGCTTCATTTGCTCTTATATATTTTTAAGTTTACCCACAACTGCCAGAGAAAGCCATTTTTGCTGGCAAAAATAATCAGCTGTGGTTGTACTCAGGAATTGTAGCATTTACAAATGACAGTGCTGTGGACATAACAAGTCCATTTTCACCTCGTTTGATTCAAGCTATTGTCAGGCCAGCTGTTTCCATTATTCACTTATATCATACTGATAGACATGAGCCGAGATAATGAGATGCTCTAAACTAATGAGGCGTGTGTTCAAGAGCAGAAAGGACATATTGCACATGACATTAATTATTACAGCCCATTAACTTTATAAACTTCTACTGATACAGGGATTGTGTGGGAGATTAGCCAGTATAAAACACAGACTGGTTAAGCCCCCATATGCAAATGAATCCTTGCTCAGCTTTTACCTGTAATGATACATCAATTAAATTTTATGAGGAGGCTTTATCAGATGTTAACATTGTTCTGAGTCAGTATGAAAAAGCCTACACATACATTTCTCATTTATATTAACTAGAGGAGTATGCCAGGGCTTTTATGGGTGTCACTATAAGAAAAATAGGGGTCTCCTCCTGTAAAATGTGTCCTTCCAAAAATGCATGGGGGTGGTGAAATAGACATTTTGGGTTCTCTACCTTTAAACTGTATGATACCATATTTGGGGGACATTTGGGGACTTCAGCGGTGAGAGTTACCTTTCTGCACCCCATCCTCTCTGTTGGGGAAAATCTAATCCTGATTTAAATTAAACCTAAAGGAGATATTTTGCACTGGGATACTAGAGACTGATCTAAAACAGGGGAGGAGATAAGTGATTTCTCTGCAGAAATGACTTCATTAGTTGCAAATGAATGACACATGACACAGTGTCACATCTCCCAAAGTTGTGATTTGAGCCATTTCTGAAGTTCGAGTCAAATGCTACAAAGACATGACATTTGCAGAAGACAGGGCCTTCGCCAGATAGCAGGCAGAAAGTGAAAAGCAGAAAAATGAAAGAGAGTGAGCACTGTTTACATATTTTGGTTCTGGTACATTGGATTTGATTTATGTCATTTTCTTGAGGAAAAGCCAGCCTTTGCATTTATTTATTTATATTTCTTACATTTCTTACATACCTCCAAAACTCTTCCAGTTTCATACATACATCCCTTTCATTTATAATTAAGGATTCAAGTTGTACAACATCTTCCTTAGTAGCTCTATTTGTGAAAATGGCAAGGAAGGAGATAAAGCCAAGTGTAGAGGAATGTTGTAAACGTCTTGAGGCTTTTTCACGCAATATAGGGATCTCCTTGCACATTGTCTGAAGAAATCCTGAAATGATCCTTTACTGTTATAAAAATATATACAATTCAGGTTTTTAAAATGGGATCTTTAAAAAAACCGTGCAAGCAAACTTAAACCTAAATCCAGTGGTTTTAGGAATCTGAAAAGACGTGCTTTCTAAGACCAGGTTTCCTTGGTGGTAATTCCAGTCTTACGTATTTAGTTGCAAAATAGCTCTATACAGTATGAATAACCCTAGTGACGTCTTCCCCCAGGAGACAGAACTACCCTGGGGTGAAAGAGTTTCAGAATGACTTTAGGTATGGGCTAAGTCACTACAGCTAAGGTCTGGAAAGAGCTGAACAAAAGGACTTGTTTAAAACAGCCAGCAAACAGGAAAAACCAGGCAGGCTGGCTGAGATGGCTGAGCACAGGGGAGAAAGGGAGAAAGCAGAGCCTTCTAATATTGTAGATAGAAAGACTCTATCACCTAGGAAAGATGGCAATTCCCAGGAGGGAAGGGTGTTTTTTTGTAATTTTACACTCCCACGGATGATAAACCCATCAAGATCCATAGTAGGCAAGGCCTTCAACCCTGTGGTTAAGAGTAGTGATTTTCACTTGAAGACATGGAGTAGCTTAAATAGACATGTAGAATAGGTATTGTATAAAGCTCTTAGATCCATCCATTTACTAACTGGTTCATTTAATTCAGGGTTATGGGGGAGCCGGAGTCAGACTCCACACAGACAGCACCCCAGGTCTGGAATACCCAGGTTACCAGCATTGTGAGGCAGGAATGCTAACCACTGCATTACCACGCAGTACAATAGAATTCCATGACTGAGTTATGTGAAGCCCACTCATCTCACAGGTGGGAGCTGTTAGTGACACCCACACAGATAAGAAGTCCCCACTGGTGTTGACAGCTCTTTCCAAATGACTGCCTGGGGTGTAGCTTCCCGTTTTGTTTTTGTTCATAATATTACTTTTAAAGGATTTCACGAATTTGTAAACCACACACCAGTCAGACATACTTTGCCTGATTGGTGCGTGGTTTACAAACTTGGTGAAACAGACCGTTGTGAACAGCTACCCCCCACACACATACATTTAGATAGAGGATTAAAAGGGGAAGTAGAAGGCACTGGGTGATTATTAGCCAGCTCACTGGAGAAATGGGAAAAGTCCGTGCGATTAAAATCTGCTTTGGGTCTTGGCACTAGTGAGAGCCTTCATTGAAAGGAATCATAATGAATGACCTTTAAAAATGTGGTTCAAATCAACAACAGTGGAAGATAAGAGGAAGTCCTTTGAAAACTGAGACCAGGAGGTATGCCTTCACACAAACAGTGGCTGGAGTGTGAAACAAGTAGAACTGATTCCATTGCTTCTTTCAAGAAGCAGATGAATGAAATCTTCAGATCACTTCGCCACTTAAAACATAACGAATGGCCTCTCAACTGCAGACTTTGATGTGTTCTCATGGGCGGAGCGGTGGCACAGTGGCTAAGGATCTGTGCCTGCGGCTGGCAGAGGAATCCTACTCCGTTGGGCCCCTGAGCAAGGCCCTTAACCCCAACTGCTCCAGGGGCGCCATACAAATGTCTGACCCTGCGCTCTGACCCCAAGATTCTCTCCCTGTCTGTGTGTCTGTGTTTCATGGAGAGCAAGCTGGGGTATGCGAAAAGACAAATTCCTAATGCAAGAAATTGTATATGCCCAATAAAGTGATCTTATAATCTTATGAATGTGTACAACAAGCAGGGAATCTGAGTATTTCCTTTCGTTTAGAGCAACAGCTTCGTTCCAAGTGTGCACTGTCACATTGTTAGAGCCCTATGAGAGTTTGAGACATCACAATTAATAGTCCTTCTGAGAAAATGTGAAAATACAAGTGCAAGTTGTCTGAAGAGGTGAATGAATATTCAAACAAGTCTAGGTTCCAAATACATAAATAAAGGAAAAAGGCGCTGTTAAGGGTGTGTTGTGTCTGGTGTCACTGTATTTATTTAAGGCTATGATCACAGCCAGTACCAATTATTTAGATTAGATAACAATGTGTCATTGAGGGGCCGTAGGTTCTTGCAAGTGCCTCATGTTTCCAGCCCAATACCATTCAGCAGAAGTGAAGGGCTGCCCAACCTCTGGCAAAACACAGAAAACTGGAGCACAAGATAATGTTCCTACAATCAGGGGGCAATAGTGCTTGACAGCTAGTGGGAGCTAAAAATACAGCTTGATATGGTTCTTGATTCAGCAAAGTAGGAGGTTTTTTTATTCTGCACAATGACATCCTTGTCTTTCCTGTTCTTGCCAAAGAGGACGTCACATATGCGTTGATATACTGTAGTTGGCAAGGTCTTGTGTGAAAACAACTTATGATGTCGCTTCATTGTTTTAAAAGCCGCCAATTATCATATAACTCTAAAACATATAATGCTTTCAAGAGTGCAATCTTTGCCCCAAACAGTTACAGTTAAAAGGAAGCTATAATTTTTGCAAAGGGACAGCAGGTGACGAAGGTCTGAAGCCCGTAAAAACATTGACACTATTGTTCTCCAATGAGAACTGTTTCACTTTTCTATACTCACAGCGGTGCATCCATGCCTGTACTGAAGATACAGTATCCATATATGGATTCAACATCTCGATCTCCCATTTTGGTTTCAGAGAACAGTAATTAATTCTATAAAAGGCGAAAAAAGACTTGGCCAATTATGGTGTATATATTTACATACATGGTTATTGGTTATTTCTTGTGCCAATAAAAGATTTTTACATTTAGAATGAATTGTTCAGTGCAGGATTTCATATCTTACACTGGTCCCTGTTATGCGGTCTCTCTCACATTGAACTTTCTCATTAACAGGAGGAGAAAACTGCCACAAGAAGGAGGAAAAATGGCTATAAATACCCTGACAGGGAGCCTCCTGTGCTGGTAGGACTGTTGATTGCTAACTCAGGCTTTAGCATGCAGACAACCTTTCTGTACGAGCTTCCCCTAAGTGGAGCATGCTGCCATGTCAGAGAACAGCTCTGCTGTGCGCACTGAACACTGTACACAGTGCCACTCCCCGTGTGCCACTCCCAGCAGGATCTCTCTGGAGTCTCATGCACAAAGAACATGATGATGTCACCACGCATTATCCTGCACCGAAAACCGCAATGGCTACCTACTGCTCACTAGTATTTACTACTGAAGAAAGCAATCGCAATGCACCCCAACCTTGATTTTAAGGTCTGGAGACAAGGAAATAATTACTTTAAAGTCCCTGCTAAATTGCCTCAACCACAATTATTATGTTTTTGTTTCAGTGAAAAAAACATTAATTAGTGTTGTTAGTAAGCTTAATCATGTGGAATATATTGTTGCTAAATGTTGAAGAAATAACCTAAGATGTGTGTGTTTTTTTACGCTTTGTCAAAGCTGCAATAAGAGCAGTTATTTGCAGAATCTTTAGTTTGTTTGCACTCACAGCTGTGTTCTCCGAAACCCGCTCTTGTGGTTCCATAGCCGAGAGAGCTGCTATTGGGTTTCGGAAATAGGAAACCCCATTCGGGAAGCTGCCCTTCAATCTCAGGTCTCTGCAGCAGAGTTGGGAGCAGGCGGGGAATCAGGACGGGACTGACAAGGCGTCTCTCCTCCGCAGCACCTGTCTGGCACCTCGAGCGGCGGCTCAGCGGAGACCCGCCCGCAGGGCAAGGTGTTTGGAGTTGTGCGCAGGAATGGCACGGACACGGGCAGCCAGGAGGAGGTGGTGGCGTGTGAGTGGTCAGTGAATCACCTGAGGCAGGAGATGAACTACATCCGAGAGGTGAGCCAGGAGCCTGCAGTCCTACAAGTGTGCAGGCCCACTGCTGGGGCTAGTGTTGTGTTGTCTAGCTGCTCCTTTGAGGCTTTTGGGCTCAAACAAATGGGGGAATCAAAGGAAAGAATTACGTACTGGATCGAGTATGTCATGTTTCGTCCATCCATGCATTTTCTAACCACTTTATCCGGTACAGGGTCATGGGGGAGCCAGAGCCTATCCCAGCAAGCAACAGGCGCGAGGCAGGGTCCACCCTAGACAGAACGCCAGGCACACAGACTTAGAAACACACACCCACACGCACACCAGGGCCAGTTTTCGCCCACAAGAGTCCAGTGACCTGCCAGTCAGTATGTCTCTGAACTGTGGGAGGACACTGGAACAGGAGACCCACACAAAATCTTCACGCAGGTAGCAGGTCTGAAATTGAACCCAGGGACTCAGCGCTGCAAGGCAGCAATGCTGGTCATGGTCATTCAAAGCAAAAAATTAATTAGAGGGGAGGCACAATATCTGGTTCGTGACTATTTGATTTCTTCACAACAATAATATGCAATTCAAGTTTTCTTTACATTTTTATTATTTTTCTAAGAAGTGAACAGCTAAACAGATACATAAAACAAAACGAATTGTCCTCTTAATTGAACTGCTTATTACTGAAAATGAACATGGAGAAAAGGTCCACCCACTACAGAAGACTGTAATAAAGAGAATGTTGATAAAATCTGTATTCTGACAAACAATGAGATCTATGGTAATCTCTGTCTACTCCTGTTACACAAGAGCAATTTCGGTAGCACCTCTTGCATTGTGACTTTAAAAGAGCTTTGAGAGGGTACCCAACAATGAAGAGGTACTCTTTAAAATAAACGGGACAATTCATCTTTGTGGTCACCTTCTTCCACGCAGGTGAGAGATTCTCTGGAGAAGGTGAGGCAGAGGATGTATGGAGAGTTCGGGGGCATGCAGCAGTCTATCAAAAAACTGTCCCAGGAGATCAACGTAAGTAGCCACAGCTTCAGTCCAATTCTCTTTGAACAAAAACTTTAATTCGGTCAACACACTGCCCATTTAGTGATGGCATTTGTATTTTTCACTCTCAGTGAAATGTTAAGGAAGCTAACATTTTTTTCAGTATTTCTACATCGCAATATTTTCCTGACATTTTTCTGGTTTCTTAGTTCAGTCTTGCGTATGGTTCAATATCCTTCAAATGTCTGGTTGATACCAGGACCCCAGAAACCCTGATCGATCCAAGCATGCAGACAACTTGCTACAAGTGTAGAAGGGCCTTCTCCTGTGTTTATTGGATGTAGTTTTATTTGAGAATAAATAGAGTTTAAGAAACGATATTTATAAGGGCATGTAATTTCCTTGAGCTGCAAAACTAGCACAATTGCAGCACAGTCTAGTCCTTGAAAAACAAAACACAGTGAGGGTTTCACAAGGTCTGGCTCCCAGTTGTCCAATCAAGTCACCGCCTTTCCGCGTAACAGAAACTAAATGCATATGGTTTTCAGTATTGAATTTGTGGAAGAGTCTTACGTGATGCAGAAAAGTCTCACAGGCCTGCTGTGCCTATCTGTACAAATTTCTGCACATTCCCACTGAACAGCGTGATGCGACTCTGCTCCTGACTCAATCTATCTAGGTTGCCAATTCGCAGCAGCAGTCGTTGCAGGCAGAAGTGAACGTGAAGACGGCTGCTTTGGAAAGTTTCGACCAGATGAACAGCTCCCTAATGTCGGCCACGATTGATTTGCAGGTACATGATTAATAACACTTGTCATGGGTCTCTGTCAGAGCCATCAGCAAAACCCCTGCAGCTTAGGCTGCAGCATAAATTAGAACAGCAGTTTGTCAGAAGCTTTTGACATAGCTCAAATGCAAATAAGATACTTTATACCGTAAAGCCGTCTTTGTGTGTGTATTGGTAATGCCCTTTTAAAACAGTAAAAGGTTAACAGGTTTTAAAACAGTAATGTGGAATTGCATTTATTTTAAAACAGAGGTTGAACGCAGGCCTGAGTACTTAACCTTTAGTTGCTCATTAGAAAACGTGATTTTTAAAAACATAATCACCTCTAACTACAGATCTTATGATTTATATAGGATATCTGAACAAGGGTGAACAATCCCCCTAATTGAGTCCTTTTCATAAAATAATGTTAATTTAGTCTAAATGAAGAAGGGGGATTTAAGGGCGACCTTTAAAACTTTCACACAAAAAGTGTCTATCAATACAGAGATCACTCTATTTTTAAAATGGAAATAGCCAAAATATAGCAAGATAAATAGTGTAATTGTGTAATTGTCAACCAACTAATTCTGCTGCATTAGACTTCACATCTTTCCATGAAACTCAGAGCCAAGCTAATATGCAGGGATGTGTTTGTGTCTGCTCTGTTTTGTGCTCGTTCTTTATTATAGTTGTCTTATCTTAATGCCAAGGCAGCTCATTTCAGAGTGGCAGAGCCGCCCATCACAGATAAAAGCAGGAGGACTCGTTGACCTGTGGGGCGCCCTGGGCTGTGTGGGGTTAAAGGCCACACAGACAGGCGGTGTCTCTGAGGTGTGTACGTTTGTGTGTATGTGCAGAAATCCTTGCTGGAGAGCTGCCTGGACCGCACAGAGATGAGGGAGGAGATGAGGGGCCTGCGGCTCTCCTACAACCAGGCGGTGGAGAGACTGAAAGAGAAGGGGAGGCAGCTAGAGGCGGCACAGGCCGAGAACGAGACTCTCAGGCTCAAGGTATGGCCCTGTCACAGCTGGGGGTCCCTGGCCTCACCTGTCTCAGGACCCGTGTCTGTTTGCCATACGGCTCGGAGATCTCTGACTCTTTTTCCACCGCTCCATAGGGGACAAGCTGCTGTTTTGCAATAGTGAAGATGTCAGTCATACTGTAGCCATTTGCCCAGGATACAGGTGGGCCTCATTTTTAGAGATTTAGAGATGTGTGACACTGTGGTTCTTCAGGAACATGAGAGGCCCTTCTTTGCTATATTGTTGGCAGGATGTTTCTGGTACCCATTGATCCAGTAAAAAACAATCAGTACTTTCCACAGAGCTAGACTTTTCTGATCTGATCTTTCGGATCCTTCCTAAAGGCGGCAGCCTTTCATTAGAGAGGGCTGTGGTAATGAGCTGTCTGCAGGAAAGAGTCAGTAACTAAAAAAGGCATCCCAAAAGGTGCTGATGTTAAGAGTGATGTGGTTTTTGAAGAGGATAGGACTTTGACCATTCCACATAGAAACAGCATTTCTTTTTCCAGGAGGAAGTGGTGTGAGGATTTGTCTAAGCCCTGGTTTTGATCTTGATTCCAGCTGGCTAGACCTCCCACGGCACTTCTCCTATTTTGCCCCACTGCCCTTAAACAAACAAACCGGCCTCCCTGTTTTTATTAATCTCTTTCACCCTGTGGCAGGTTTCAATAATCCAGACCTCGTTCTTAGGCACTGCCAAAACTTGGCTTGACATTTTTCCCTTCCTCCAAATTGACATTAATTATCCAGCTTTACTGTTCAAATCTTGAGAGGAATTTGTAACATTGCATTTTATCCAGTGGAGAAATGCATTGTTTTCAAAATCGGAATGTTTCTTTCCACCTCCAAGCCAAAAATAAAAAAAACATATTTTCTTTAACGTTCTCTCAGAATAAGCAGCTTGCAAGTAGCAAAGGAAGTCGGAAATGAAAGTCTGACTTCAAAACCAACTTCTCAAGGTTGAAGGTTGTACTTTCAGATGTATTTCCAGCTCATTCATTTTTAAGAGGAATTTTGTGTTCAAATGCCCTGTAACCTGTTTTTCTGGCTGACCAGCATGAGGAATGGAGCTGGGCTCCTCAGCTCATTACTCATCACTGTCAAGGGTAGCTCTTCTGCCGTCTCTTCTGCCCTCAGCTTGAAATGGAGTGTGGCTTGCATTGGAAAGCAGAACTGATTTGTTTAATCCCCAAGTTAATATTGAAGGGGCCCATGGCCAGATAATGAGCAGGTAGCCCAAGTGCCCCATCCTCCAGAGTTGGCATCACTACTCTCTATAGTAATAAATGTCTTGTTTCTTTGTGAATTAGATAGAATCCTCACAAGAAGCCAACTCCCAAGTCCTTCAAGACATGACCCAGAAGCTGTACAGAGAATATGAAGAACAGCTGCAGGAGGAACAGCGAAAACACAGAGAAGAGATAGAGGTTCTCCAGGTACACATGTGTGATGCTAAATAGACAAAACTAACATAAAAGCCAGCAGCCATATCACCCTACAGCTCACAACTGGCAACCCACTGAAGCTAAGCAGGTGTGAGCCTGGTCAGTTCCTGGATGAGAGACTCCTGGGAAAAACTAAGGTTGCTGCTGGAAGAGGT